ACCCAATGGTGCGGGCAGCGGAGATGAACCCGCAGGGTACGCAGGATGTACAACCGCCACCGCACTTGGCGCCATCTGGCTCTATCCCAACCCAGGAATCGTCCTCGTCGTCGTCCCCGGACGAGGCTCTAGCAGACCCGGCACCTAGTCTGCCTACCATGGATGCCCGTACGCACCAGGAACTTTTCCGGTGCATGGCATTGAATCTAGCCATCCCAGTGGAACCTGTCATTGAGGACACGGATCCAATGGTGGACATCATCACTGAGGACGCGCCCACGTGGTTGGCTTTACCGCTCAATAAGACGGTGACCAAGATCTCAAAGGCCCTGTGGTGGACGCCAGCGACCTTGACCCCTACCTTAAAAGGGGTCGAGAGGCACTATTATGTCCCGCACTCAGGACATGAGCATTTGTATTGGCAACCCATCCCAGGATCCTTGGTTGTGCAGGCTGCGGCCCAAAAGGACCGGCTCCCTCAGCCTCACCCATCTCCAAAGGCAAGAGAGCTTAAACGGCTGGATCTGATGGGCCGTAAGGTTTACGCCACAGGGGCACTACAGCTCCGCATCGCGAACCAGCAGGCGATGTTAAGCCGGTATGCCTTCAATACCTGGCAGGCAGTCGAAAAATTCAGGGATCGGCTCCCAGCGGAGGACCGCCAGGAGTTCGCAGCCATTGCTTCCGAGGGCAAAGTCATCGCACGAACTGCCCTCCAGGCATCCTTGGATACCGCTGACTCAGCAGCCCGCACCATGGAGACCGACGTCTTGATACGTCGCGTAACTTGGCTGCACGTGTCAGGGATTCCCCCTGACGTGCAAAATACAATCCAGGACTTGCCGTTCGAGGGAAACACTTTGTTCTCGGAGCACACCGACTCTAGGCTCCACACCCTGAAGGACACAAGGTCCACGTTGAAATCCTTGGGCATCCACACGCCTGCCCCGCAGCGTCGACAGCTGCTCTATCGACAGCAGGGGAGAGCACAGTCCCAGGTCCCCCGGTGGAGGTTCCGGGGCGGTTGTGCACCCTCAGGGCGCTAGGAGTCGCCGTCGTCGCCCCAGGGCAGACAGCCAGCGGGGAGGCCCCCACGGCCCTTCCCATCAGGCCAAGCCTCAATTTTGACGCGCTGTTAGAGGGTTGCGCACCAGTCTCCTACCCTGGCCCCCGTTTGGGGCCAGGCTATCCCACTTTGCCCATGCTTGGGCACTAATCACAACAGACGCCTGGGTATTAACAATAGTAAATGGAGGCTATACCACCCCTTTCTTGGGCCGGCCGCCTTCCAACCCCCCTTCCCCATCCCACTTCAGGGACACCCCTCTCGAACACGTGCTCCTCGCAAAGGGAGCAATAGAGGAGGTTCCCCCACACCTGTGGGGACGCGGATTCTATTCCCGATAGTTTGTTGTCCCCAAACCAAAAGGAGGAGTCCGTCCCATCTTGGACCTCAGAGATCTGAACAAGGCGGTCATAAAACACAAATTCAGAATGGGTCATTCCAGTGCTAGTTAGGAGACTGGTACGCAACTCTCGATCTCAAGGACGCGTACTTCCACGTGGCGATCAGCACTAGCCACAGGAGGTTTCTCAGGTTTCCTGTTGGCCAGCACCATTTTCAGTTTCCGGTGCTCCCTTTTGGCCTGTCAGTGGCACCCAGAGTGTTCACCAAGTGCATGGCAGTCGTTGCGGCATTTCTCCGCAAACAAGGGGTGCACGTCTTCCCGTACCTCGCCGATTGGCTAATCTGAGACCGCTCCTACGAGCAGGTGAAGGCTCATGTGTCACTCACAAAGGCCCTCTTCCTAAAGCTCGGGCTCATGCTGAACGAGGAAAAGTCGTCCCTGACCCCCTCTCAGAATCTCGAATTCGTGGGTGCCCTCCTTCATGCAAGGGTAGCAAAAGCTTTCCTCCTCAGGAGCAGGTTCCTCTCCATAGTGGAGCTGATTTCTGGGTTAACCCGGTCCCCTATCAAGACCCCTCGGGTCTGCTCGAGGCTCCTGGGCCATATGGCTGCATGCACATACACAGTACACCACGCCAGAATGAGAATGAGACCTCTGCAGGCTTGGTTGGCAAATGCCTTCAGTCAGTCCTGGGGTCTTTGGGACTCGATCCTCACAGTGCCCCCAGAGGTCCTAGCCTCCCTACAGTGGTGGACCCAGGAGGCTGTGGTGTGCAGTGGGGTTCCTTTCAATGCCCCTCCCCCCTTCCTTACACTAGTCACAGATGCCTCCAACCTGGGCTGGGGAGCACACCTGGGGCAGCACAGGACTCAGGGTCTGTGGTCCCCCACAGAATGGACCCTCCATAGAAACATCCAGGAGATGCGAGCGGTGAGAAGAGCCTGCGAAGCCTTCCTGCCAAGGCTTTCTCACCACTCGATCCTGGTTCGTTTAGACAATACAGAGGCTGTCTTCTACCTCAACAAGCAGGGGGGAGCTTGGTCACCTCCCCTCTGCCAAGAGGCCCTGTTCCTTTGGCACCTGTGTGTGAAACACGACATTACACCACAGGCGGAGTACCTCCCGGGCTACAGGAATCTGCTAGCAGACTCTCTGAGCAGATCCTTCAGAGCCCACGAGTGGTCACTCAAGGACTCAGTCCTGTGCCAGGTTTTCTGCAGGTGGGGTTATCCCCTCCTAGACCTGTTCGCCTCAGCACACAATGCGAAGTGCCGGAACTACTGTTCCCTGCTGGGGCTGGGGAAACACTCCTTGGGGGATGCCCTAATAGCCATGTGGCCAAAGGGCATTCTTTGCGCTTTTCCCCCGTTCCAATTTCCAGGGTGTTGACCGGGGCAAGGACCTTTCAGTCCACAATCATCCTTATAGCCCCCAGGTGGCCCAGACAGTTCTGGTTTCCCATCTTGGTGGACATGTTCACCAAGGATCCCATAGCGCTCTCTCAGCCCGGGACCTTCTAACTCAACCCTGGGACGGGGGGGACCATGGTTCACCCAAATCTCAGGTCTCTTCACCTAACGGCCTGGTTTATCCATGGCTGAACCAACCGGAAAGGGAATGTTCCCAAGAGGTTCAGATGGTGCTCCTCAGTAGTAGGAAGCCCTCTACCAGACGGTTGTACGCTGCCAAGTGGCGGCGCTTCTCGTCTTGGGCATCCCGAAGAGGAGTGCACCCATCCTCTGCCCCGTCCCGACTATCTTAGACTATCTTTTTGAGCTTCGGTCTAACGGCCTCTCTTTTTCCTCTATTAAAGTCCATGTGGCATCTCTCTCCGCCTTCCAAGTGGGTACGGCAGGAGTTTCTCTTTTCTCTGACCCGGTGGTTAAAAGATTCCTTACCAGTCTGGAAAAACTGTATCCCTCAGTGAGGGCCCCACTTCCCGCCTGGGACCTCAACGTGGTCTTACGCAGGTTTATGTCCCCCACCTTTGAGCCATTGGCTACGTGTTCCCTGAAGCACCTCTCGTGGAAGGTTGCTTTCATTGTGGCCATCACGTCAGCTCGTAGGGTTTCCGAACTGAGGGCGTTGACTATAGATCCGCCTTACCTTGTGTTTTCAAATAGTAATGTGAGGCTCCGCCCTCACCCGGCCTTTCTCCTGAAAGTGGTGTCACCGTTCCACCTGTCCCAGGAAATTTATCTCCTGGTCTTCTTCCCGAAGCCCCACGCCTCCCCCAAGGAGCAGGTGCTCCATTCCCTGGACGCTACGTGAGCACTAGCGTTCTACATTGATAGGACCAAGCCCTTTCGCAGATCCCAACAGTTGTTCATTGCTTTTGGGGACAGGGTGAAAGGGTTACCTATTTTGACAACGAGGGTCGCTGAATGTATCAAGGAATGTTATCAACTGGCTGGCAAGACCCCACCCAGGGTTACAGCACACTCTACCAGGGCACAGGCGTCCTCGGTAGCGTTCGGGGCTCAGATACCAATTACAGAAATTTGCAGGGCGGCCACATGGTCGTCCCTCCATACCTTTACAGCGTACTACGCGCTAGCACAACAGGCCAGGGAGGACGCAGGGGTGGGCTCTGCTGTCCTGAACTCTGTGGTGTAAATATGTTGAATTATCACTGTTATTGGCTCATGTTTTCTTTGTGTTTACCTGTTTGAATACATCTGTTGCGTTTATTCACCTTTCCTATGACTCTTGTGGTCTGACTGCTCCGACCCCTCCTCTGTATGTGGGGTTGGCTTGAAAGTCACCTACTTCGAATGGACATGAGCAACCACTCGAAGAAGAAAAGAACGGTTACTTACCTGTAACTGTTGTTCTTCGAGATGTGTTGCTCATGTCCATTCGAAGTAGGTGACTTTCAAGCCAACCCCACATACAGAGGAGGGGTCGGAGCAGTCAGACCACAAGAGTCATGGGAACGGTGAACAAACCCAACAACTTTATTCAAACAAGTAAACACAGAGAGGCAAGTGCCAAGAACAGTGATAACCCAACATAGTTACACTACAGTATTGAGGGCTGCAGAGCCCACCCCTGCGTCCTCCCTGGCCTCTTGTGCTAGCGCATAGTGCGCCATAAATGTATGGAGCGACGACCATGTGGCCTCCCTGCAAATCTCTGTAATAGGTATCTGAGCCCCGAATGCTACCGAGGACGCCTGCGCCCTGGTAGAGTGTGCTGTAACCCCAGGTGGAGTCTTACCAGCCAGTACATAACATTCCCTGATACATTCTGCGACCCAGTTTGACAAGCTCTGTGTCGAAATAGGTAACCCTTTCACCCTGTCCCCAAAAGCAATGAACAACTGTTGGGATCTGCGAAAGGGCTTGGTCCTATCAATGTAGAACGCTAGTGCTCACGTAGCGTCCAGGGAATGGAGCACCTGCTCCTTGGGGGAGGCGTGGGGCTTCGGGAAGAAGACCAGGAGATAAATTTCCTGGGACAGGTGGAACGGTGACAATTGGCTCAAAGGGTGTCGGAACTAAGGGCGCTAACTGTAGACCCGCCCTACCTTGTTTTTTCCCATAACAATGTAAGGCTACGGCCTCATCCAGCCTTCCTCCCGAAGGTGGAATCACCATTCCACCTGTCCCAGGAGATTTATCTCCCATTTTTTTTCCCAAAACCTCACGCCTCCTCTAAGGAGCGGATTCTGCACTCCCTGGACGCCAAGCGGGCGCTGGCGTTCTACAGTGATAGGACTAAGCCGTTCCGTAAATCACAACAATTGTTTATTGCATTTGTGGACTGGGTGAAAGGGTCTCCTCTATTTCCACGCAAAGGCTATCAAGATGGGTTGTGCAATGCATCACAGACTATCACCTGGCTGGTAAAAACCCCACCCAGGGTGAAGGCACACTCCACCAGGGCGCAGGCGTCCTCGGTGGCCTTTGGTGCCCAGGTACCGATCACAGAAATTTGCAGGGCAGCCACCTGGTCTTCCCTTCACACGTTTGCAACACACTATGTGCTACCTCAGCAGGCCAGGGAGGATGCAAGGGTGGGCTCTGCAGTCCTCGAATCTGTGATGTAAATATGT